GGTTTATGGTGCCGGTAGCACACTTGTAGACTGTTTAGAACACCATTGCCTGTGCAGTCAATACCTCACTGGCCACCTGAACTTCCCAGTCCTGTGGCGCAGATTAATATTTAACAAATCTATACCTTGAAAAAGGTTTCAACACCTGACCACTAGGCCAGCAAGCAGGCACACTGGCCACTGTGGCTCTCTAGTTTTAAAATACACACAGATCAAAATTTTGCAATGAACAATCATCTGGCCATGTATGCATTACAAAAGCCAGCCTGACAAAGGAACAGCTACTTCACAATAGAAAAAAACATTTACCAGAAAGCGACATACTGTAAAACATAAGTTGTCACTGATCATATTAACTAGGGACAGAAATATTTGAACAAGATCATAGCTTCTAACAAATATCAACAACATTATGTTTTAAGAGCAAGTAGTACTATCTTACTAACACATCTGTAGAGTGTATTGTTGAGAAGAAACACCAATTAAATGATGTAAGCAAACACAGAACTTTGGGCCGATGAAGCTAATCTTCACCAAGAATCTAATCCAAGCTAATGCCATTATCTCCCAAACACAGTTTTCTATATCATGTGTCAATAAATGACAGACTAATTACATAATCCTGTTTTTAGTACCAGACCTAGTCATTGACTGCATCAACAACAAAAATACTTGTAACAGCAAGGATAGAATATTGGGCAGGATACTTACACTTCATCTAACAAGAAGGCAGAGGATAAGATGATAACATAAGAAACCAGTACATGTTATGTGTTAGAATTCAATAAGGGAAAAGAAATAAATTGTATCATAGCCACCAACAGACAAAGATAAAAAAAAAAAAATGGGAAAATGGCTAAATGAGACTAGAAACATCATAGGTTATGAAGCAAATAGCAGAGCTTGTTTTAGAGGTCTCTATATTGTGACTAAGTAAGTGACTAAGTAAGGCAAACAAGTATCCAACTGGCTAAGATTTATGGCATCTGCCTCTAAATCAACAAGTACTGGATTCAAACACTTGAAAGTTAATTTGTTTAGGGCAATGTTTTAAAAGGAACTTGATGTTTTCACTCTCTGAGACTTTAGAAACAAATTAAAAAAACCAAAAACAAGTCTACCTATGATAGAATTTTTATAAATGTGTTAACTACTGGGGTTTCTACTACCACTGCACAATTCATACAGTGAGCTGAGCTCTAGTGAGATGTGAATTTGTTATTTGCATCACTGTGAAGTTTCAGTGTCATGAAGATGGCCCCTGAACCCCCAATCAAAATAAAAGAAAAAAGCCAAGCTAAGTGTGGCTGCATTCTATAATTCTTGCATCTATATCTCACTAGCGCAGTTATCACCAGAACTACTGCAAACATGACATCTGCAGTAAGTCTAAAACAAGCAAGAGTGAGAATAAAGACACAGAATAAGGAAATATGGTGTCTTCAAGTATTTTCAAAGCTCGTCTTCTTCTCTACATGTTCACTGGCTTCCAATACATTTCTGGACTTCAATCTTGTTACAAAACGTGAGTTCTATGTGCACATCTATTTTACAGATCTGACTTACTTGTTTGCAGGCTGTTGGCTCTTCTCCTCTCAGGCAGATGCACTTCAATTGTGAAGAAAACATCCCTAATTAGTAGAACTCTTACTACATATTTGTTAGGAACAGTGGGTCTATTCTCCTTCTCCCTTTGCCACAATGGGATCCTCAAACCCAAATGGGGATTTCCAAAGCAAATGACTACTGAATGCTTCAAGTAATCAGTCATGCATGTGCCCATTTCTCCAACACACAGATAAATAACAGATAATACAGGAAATATATTTACATACAACAATAACAAAGCATTAGACAATACTGAGAGGTGTATAGATTTGCCACTAAGCAGAAAGGGAAAAAAAAAAAGGAATAATAAAACAGAAAAACGTCAACAAACAACAGCACAGAGATATGAAACTAGGCTCTTCAACAGGATGCTACATGAGCGAAGATCAAGTAATGAAACTTGTACAAAACAATTGCACAAGTAAGATATGACACCAACAAAAGGAAATGGGAGTAGAATGTGCTAGCCGTAAAGAGCCATCAGAAAACTGAGAAAGACAATATTCTGAGAGAAAAAAAAAGGAGATTTCTAGAGCACGAGACCACAGACATAGCAATCACTGTTACTTTCTTAAGAAATATTATAGCAGTTAGCAGCGGTGTGTCTTAACTAGACACTTACCAAACACAGAAATATAACAATTACTGTTACTGTCTAAGAAATAACAATACAGGAAACAGCGGTGTGTCTCAACTTGACCTTTAACACTTCTTCTTCTTCTCTTCCACCATTTACCTCAGCAAGGTGTTGGGCAGGAGATGTAAGGTTTGTTTGTGTGCTTTTTTCCAATGCATTGGTGTTCTGCTTTTTTCCAATGCATTGGTGTTCATTTCTGTTAAAGTTGCTCCTGATGGTGTCACTCAATTTCTTGTGTGGTCTTCCCCTTGCTCTGTGCTCATTATATTTCTTCAGTGTGGCTCTCTGTGGCAGTTGGTACCAGGGCATTTTAGGCATTCTCTTCAGGTGGCCAAACCGTCTCATTTGTCGAGCTTTAATGAACTGTATGACTGGTTTCAGTCCAAGTCTTCTAATTTCTTCATTCCTGATTTTATTTCTTCTTGTCACATCGGCAGCTCTCCTAAGACATCTTATCTCTGTTGTTATGATCTTCATTAGTTGTAGTAAGGGTCCGCTTGGCACTGGTAGCACAATGTCAGCCCCCCCCCCCCCCCCCCCCCCCCCCCAAAAAAAAACCCCAGTTCTTATGATATTTGCTTTAGTTGACAGAGGTATCTTTCTATGCATCAGAAGCGGTGTTAATTGTCCCATAACCTGATTTGCTTTCTCACATTGTATGTTAATTTCTCTATTCATTCTTCCATCTGAAGCAAAAAACCTTAACAATAACATAGAAATAAAACAATTACTATTACTGTCTAAGAAATATCAATACAGGGAACAGCAGTATGTTTCAACTAAACCGTTACCACTAACACAGAACTATTACAATAACAATCAAGCACAAACAAGCAATTGATGACAGCACACATAAACACATGTTAATTCAGTATCTCATCTTCACTACTTCCAAACTAGAAGTGATAACTTAGAAAAAATCATTAGAGATTGAAACATGCTGATGAATATGCTACACACAAGTCTATTATACAACTCCATTAGAAGTCATCAAACAACCTGTTCACAGCATATGTGACAAAACAATTCACATAATCTATCAATCAATTTTATCTTCCATTCACAAAAAGACAGCTTCTCTTCCTATAGCTTAAAAAAAAAAAAAGAAATTGTTCATAAAACTTCTAATTCTGAGGCTGTTTCTTCCTATAAATATAAAATCTGCAAAACTTGAATTAGTAGCAAGAATAGCTACAAGAATTTCAAAGAAAATACAATTTCCACAAATCTAATTAATTATTCAAGTAAATAACACTGATTCAAAACAACATAAATAGACCAGCAAAGTTTTTCTACACTGCTGGATCACGTCTGACAGGATTAACAGAGGCAACCTGGCACTAGGACATATGCAATGACATTACTAACAGGCAAACTACTCACTGACAGGCAAACTACTCACTGACAGGCAAACTACTCACTGACAGGCAAACTACTCACTGACAGGCAAACTACTCACTGACAGGCAAACTACTCACTGACAGGCAAACTGCTCACTGACAGGCAAACTGCTCACTGACAGGCAAACTGCTCACTGAGAGGCAAACTGCTCACTGACAGGCAAACTGCTCACTGACAGGCAAACTACTCACTGAGAGGCAAACTACTCACTGAGAGGCAAACTACCCACTGAGAGGCAAACTACCCACTGAGAGGCAAACTACTCACTGACAGGCAAACTACTCACTGACAGGCAAACTACTCACTGACAGGCAAACTACTCACTGACAGGCAAACTACTCACTGAGAGGCAAACTACTCACTGAGAGGCAAACTACTCACTGACAGGCAAACTACTCACTGAGAGGCAAACTACTCACTGAGAGGCAAACTACTCACTGAGAGGCAAACTACTCACTGACAGGCAAACTACTCACTGACAGGCAAACTACCCACTGACAGGCAAACTACCCACTGAGAGGCAAACTACCCACTGAGAGGCAAACTACTCACTGACAGGCAAACTACTCACTGACAGGCAAACTACTCACTGACAGGGAAACTACTCACTGACAGGCAAACTGCTCACTGACAGGGAAACTACTCACTGACAGGGAAACTGCTCACTGACAGGGAAACTACTCACTGACAGGGAAACTGCCCACTGACAGGGAAACTGCCCACTGACAGGCACACTGCTCACTGACAGGCACACTGCTCACTGACAGGCAAACTACTCACTGACAGGCAAACTTCTCACTGACAGGCAAACTACTCACTGACAGGCAAACTGCTCACTGACAGGCAAACTACTCACTGACAGGCAAACTACTCACTGACAGGCAAACTACTCACTGACAGGCAAACTACTCACTGACAGGGAAACTACTCACTGACAGGCACACTACTCACTGACAGGGAAACTACTCACTGACAGGCACACTACTCACTGACAGGCAAACTACTCACTGACAGGCAAACTGCTCACTGACAGGGAAACTACTCACTGACAGGCAAACTACTCACTGACAGGCAAACTACTCACTGACAGGCAAACTGCTCACTGACAGCCAAACTACCCACTGACAGGCAAACTAGTCAATGTTTGAATTTTAAAAATATATATTAAGGTAATAGCCGATTTTTGATGTTTTAGACCTTTTCTTCTGGGCAACATTGCATGCACTGTTCAACATTTAGCAAATCTGCACTTGACTCTAGCGTCAAGACCAAAGCTAAACTAAACCATAACAATATATTACATAGACACCTCGCTAAAATCACCCACACACACATACATTTCACAAGGAAATTATCACAAAGAGCTGTTGAAATTATTGGATGATGTCGAATCAGGGCTTGCAGGAGTGCGCCCTAATATTCTGTCCACTTCTTTGCAGTGTTGATGAGGACCAGGTTCTGGCGTGTATGTAAAGATAAGTCCTGTGGAGTAGATAATCCCATCACAGCGCACCAGTGATACAGGAACCTGGAATACACAAACATCAAGTGTTTTATCACTGCAACTTTCATTCACAGAAATGAGCGATGCTTACATATTGTCTTCTTCTTCTTCTTCACTTCCTCTTTTACCGCTGTGGGTGTCGAGGGAGATATAATATTCTGTTTCTGGCTCTTCTGGGCGCCTCGACCATAGGCACATCGTGCTGTTGTAGAGCTTCTCTGATGTTATCCTTCCATCTTGTTCTTGGTCTACCTCTTGCTCTACGTCCTTCTTCTCTTTCCATGTATGCTTTGTATGGTATGGTGTCACAAGGCATTCTTTCTAAGTGAGCAAACCATTTCACTTGCTGTCTTTGCTTCCATATTGTAGTTCAGCAAAAATGGTAGAAATAAAGCACCAAAAGACATGCTAAGTCTTGCAAAGTTCTTGTTTGAAATCATATCAGCTATAGATGCAATAGTGAAAGGCTTAAAGTCAAATCTAGAATTATCACATTCTTACAACTATACGCACCAACAATAATAGAGGAAGAGAAAGACTTAAAGTAATAGCAGGAAATGACATCCTAATAATACTGAAAAATATAATGTTAAAAGTGGGTATCAGAAAAATAAAAATAAAAACTCTGGAAGAAAAATAAAGGGTGGGAACACGTGAAACTCAAAAAGAACTGGGCATAAACTGACAACTTTCTGCACTGACAATAAAAATATGATAGCCATTAAGTTTCAGCAAGTTCCTAATCAGTTTCTTCTTCTGTCTCAACCATATCAGGTGGCCATTCCATACAAGAATTTATTTTCTATCACGTTCCAGTGATCCATGTTTGTTCAGCATCTATTCCAGGATGGGGCCAAAAATAAGATCATGTGCTTCTGGTCTTCACTGGTGCCCTATAGTTTGTCCTGCAGGGAGAGGAGAATACACACCAGAACAAAAGGAAAGAATATCAAATAACAAGAAAAGAGTAACGTTAAAAACCTATTTAAAAAAAAAAAGGAACAAAGAATTTAAGATGAAACAAGATGCATTTTGTACTAGTGGTGCAGCGAATGAAAAACTTGCGGAGATTAAACTAGATCATGATTTGTTTAAGCAAACAAAAGTTATGAGCAAAATCTTAACAATAAAACAAATATAACAGGCAAGAGAAGAAGAACCTTAAAAACAAAACAGATGGAAAGAATACTGCAGTGAGATACATAAAATCTTGTGGGCAACAAATAATATAAGCAACTCCTAATTCAATCTAAAAAAAAAAAATTTAGAGAAGTGATGAGTCATGACAGTTATGGTTTATTCTTGACCAGGTACAAAAGAAAGAAGTAAATGTAAAAAAAAAAAATTTAGAGAAGTGATGAGTTATGATAGTTATGTTCTGTTTCTGACCAGGTACATAAGAAAGAAGTAAATGTAAAAAAAAAAAAAAATCAGAGAAGTGATGAGTTATGATAGTTATGGTTTGTTCTGGAACAGGAACATAAGAAAGAAGTAAATGTAAAAAAAAATGCAACAAGAACTAACCTGTAAGGGTTGTCTAACCCATCGCCCTCCACTGGTTCGGAATGCAGAGATATCAGGGACCACACACAACATGCTATCATCACATCTGAAATGAAGATCAGCTATTTATTTGCAAGGGATAATTAACTTAGTATTGACTTTTTATTGTGATTTGAAACACAGGTCATAGCAAGGGATAATTAACTTTGTATGAACTTTTTATTGTGATTTGAAACACAGGTCATAGCAAGGGATAATTAACTTTGTATTAACTTGTTATTGTGATTTGAAACACAGGTCATAGCAAGGGATAATTAACTTTGTATTGACTTTTTATTGTGATTTGAAACACAGGTCATAGCAAGGGATAATTAACTTTGTATGAACTTTTTATTGTGATTTGAAACACAGGTCATAGCAAGGGATAATTAACTTTGTATTAACTTGTTATTGTGATTTGAAACACAGGTCATAGCAAGGGATAATTAACTTTGTATTGACTTTTTATTGTGATTTGAAACACAGGTCATAGCAAGGGATAATTAACTTTGTATTGACTTTTTATTGTGATTTGAAACACAGGTCATAGCAAGGGATAATTAACTTTGTATGAACTTTTTATTGTGATTTGAAACACAGGTCATAGCAAGGGATAATTAACTTTGTATTAACTTTTTATTGTGATTTGAAACACAGGTCATCTCAGAGCTGCAGTCCTGATCTTTTAACTGTAACAAAAATAAAACAACAACAACAAAAAAAAAAAAAACCTTTTGTAACAGGCAAATCTTTAGTTATAATTGTATGGAGATATACTTACTAAAAAAAATTCTAAAATGTGCATTTATTAATTTATATGAGTGCTCAGTGTCTTTGTAGAGCCGGACATTTTTCAAAAACGACCTTGACTCCCAGGTCGACCCAGCCTTGAGTGAGTACCTGGTGCAGTCCCGGGAGGTAAAGGCGGCCAGTGTAATGCTGACCACATCACCCATCATGTGACGATTGGTTTATAAAAATATAGGCTAGCCCTATATGCCCTATACGCCTAAAGGCGTGGAAAATGACTTTTACTGTGCTTGTGCTGAAGTCCTTATAAACAATTTAAGTATCCTGTAAGGCAATGCCTAACATTCTTTCCTGGCAAATAATAATAATAGTAAAAACCTTCTCACTGTGCGTTGTTTCTTCCACTATTAATTTTGTCAGCAAATGCCCTCTGTGGCACTTTATGTAATGGTTTGAATCACCTGACTGTCACTGACACAGACAGATGTTATTATATTTGGTTGGGACGTATATGTTTGCAGTTACATAGTATAATCTGATAACATCAGATATAAGATGTATTAATGAACTTAAATGTAGAATCACCAAAGCAAAGGAGGCATTTTAAAAAATAAAGAATATTCTATGCAATCACTCTTTGTCAACTGAGATAGGAAAGAAAATTCTTAAAAGCTAAATAAATCCTGTCCTGATGTATGGAAGTGAATCACAGACAATTAGCTGATTAGTGGACAATTATTTTGAAGCTGCGAAGATGTGGTTTTATAGACAACTGATGAGAATACCCCAGACAGATTAAAAAGAGAAATGAAGATGTTTTGAAATAAAATGACTCACACAGAGAAGTGATTCCCAAAGAACCGGAATATCAGGTGTGACTACACACCACAAATAAAAGGAAATCAAACAAGACAGCCAAGGAACCTTCCTTCATATAGCAGGCCTCCGGGCGGCTGAAAAAGGATCAAATTTGGAATTTTTGTTGGACAACTGGAATTGGAATTGGAAGTGATTCCCACATCAGAAAGAGACACCTACATTCCGTAGTCATTCATTAGAGGGAGAAACCTAAAGTGTATCATGACAGTGGGAAAGTTGGAGGGGAAGAGAAGGCAGACGTAGACTGAGATAGAAGATGCTGAACAGTCTGACATGATGGCATGAAAGATCATCTGTAACAAGAGTTAACTGAAAGTTCATAAGAAAAAAGGTTGTGGACAACGTGACTACCAACACAACACAGCATGGACTTTAAGAAGAAGGATAACAAAGTATATAATAGAAGTATATTTACATCTGTGTTTCCCCCAAAACACGCATTTTCTTGTTCAGCTATTACTTATTTATTACTTTAACATTCAAGTAATATTAATATGAAAGCAATATTAAACTTTTAGTGTAACATATATGTTTAAGAACAATAACCCACATAAAGTGTTCAGCAAAAATGAAATAGTATATTCTTACCTATACATGGTTTCTGCTTCGACCTCTCCAAACCAAACTTTTAGAGCGGCTGTGAAGTTTTCACCATTAAGCTCCAACATAGCAACATCACCACCACCATTCAACTGGAATTAAAAATTAAATTTGAAAAAAATTAACTCATATTCTTAGCACTGCGACTATCATAGTCTGACACTACATTACATCACACTGCGGCTGTCATTACCTGACATTACATCACACTGTGGCTGTCATAACCTGACATTACATCACACTGCGGCTGTCATAACCTGACATTACATCACACTGTGGCTGTCATAACCTGACATTACATCACACTGTGGCTGTCATAACCTGACATTACATCACACTGTGGCTGTCATAACCTGACATTAAATCACATCCTGGCTGTCATAACAAGACATTACATCACACTGTGACTGTCATAACCTGACATTACATCACACTGTGACTGTCATAACCTGACATTACGTCACACAGTGGCTGTCATAACCTGACATTAAATCACACCGGGGCTGTCATAACAAGACATTAACTTCACACTGTGGCTGTCATAACAAGACATGAAATCACACTGTGGCTGTCATAACAAGAAATTACATCACACCGTGGCTGTCATAACAAGACATTACATCACACTGCGGCTGTCATAACAAGACATTAAATCACATTGTGGCTGTTATAACCTGACATTACATCACACTGTGGCTGTCATAACCTGACATTACATCACACTGTGGCTGTCATAACCTGACATTAAATCACATCCTGGCTGTCATAACAAGACATTACATCACACTGTGGCTGTCATAACCTGACATTACATCACACTGTGGCTGTCATAACCTGACATTACATCACACTGTGGCTGTCATAACCTGACATTACATCACACTGTGGCTGTCATAACCTGACATTACATCACACTGTGGCTGTCATAACCTGACATTACATCACACTGTGGCTGTCATAACCTGACATTAAATCACATCCTGGCTGTCATAACAAGACATTACATCACACTGTGACTGTCATAACCTGACATTACATCACACTGTGACTGTCATAACCTGACATTACGTCACACAGTGGCTGTCATAACCTGACATTAAATCACACCGGGGCTGTCATAACAAGACATTAAATCACACTGTGGCTGTCATAACAAGACATGAAATCACACTGTGGCTGTCATAACAAGAAATTACATCACACCGTGGCTGTCATAACAAGACATTAAATCACACTGTGGCTGTCATAACAAGACATTAAATCACATTGTGGCTGTTATAACCTGACATTAAATCACACTGCGGCTGTCAAAAGAAGACATTACATCACACTGTGGCTGTCAAAAGAAGACATTACATCACACTGTGGCTGTCATAACAAGACATTACATCACACTGTGGCTGTCATAACAAGACATTACATCACACTGTGGCTGTCATAACAAGACATTAAATCACATTGTGGCTGTCATAACAAGACATTACATCACACTGTGGCTGTCATAACCTGATATTAAAAAACACTGCGGCTGTCAAAAGAAGACATTACATCACACTGTGGCTGTCATAACAAGACATTAAATCACACTGCGGCTGTCATAACAAGACATTAACTTCACACTGTGGCTGTCATAACAAGACATTAAATCACACTGTGGCTGTCATAACAAGACATTAAATCACACTGTGGCTGTCATAACAAGACATTAACTTCACACTGTGGCTGTCATAACAAGACATTACATCACACTGTGGCTGTCATAACAAGACATTAAATCACACTGCGGCTGTCATAACAAGACATGAACTTCACACTGTGGCTGTCAAAACAAGACATTAAATCACACTGCGGCTGTCATAACAAGACATTAAATCACACTGCGGCTGTCATAACAAGACATTAACTTCACACTGTGGCTGTCATAACAAGACATTACATCACACTGTGGCTGTCATAACAAGACATTAAATCACACTGCGGCTGTCATAACAAGACATTAACTTCACACTGTGGCTGTCATAACAAGACATTACATCACACTGTGGCTGTCATAACAAGACATTACATCACACTGCGGCTGTCATAACAAGACATTACATCACACTGTAGCTGTCATAACAGGACTTTAAATCCCACTGTGGCTGTCATAACAAGATATTAAATTACACTGTGGCTGTCATGGTCAGATATTACACCACACAGTGGCTGTCATAACAAGTCATTACATCACACTGTGGCTGTCATAACAAGACATTACATCACACTGTGGCTGTCATAACCTGACATGACATTACACTGTGGCTGTCATAACAAGACATTACATCACACTGTGGCTGTCATAACAAGACATTACATCACACTGTGGCTGTCATAACAAGACATTACATCACACTGTGGCTGTCATAACAAGACATTACATCACACTGTGGCTGTCATAACAAGACATTACATTACACTGTGGCTGTCATAACAAGACATTACATCACACTGTGGCTGTCATAACAAGACATTACATCACACTGTGGCTGTCATAACAAGACATTACATCACACTGCGGCTGTCACGGTCAGATATTACACCACACAGTGGCTGTCATAACAAGACATTACATCACACTGCGGCTGTCACGGTCAGATATTACACCACACAGTGGCTGTCATAACAAGACATTACATCACACTGCGGCTGTCACGGTCAGATATTACACCACACAGTGGCTATCATGGCCAGATATTACATTACTGTGGCTGTCATGGCCAGATATTACATTACTGTGGCTGTCATGGCCAGATATTACATTACTGTGGCTGTCATGGCCAGATATTACATTACTGTGGCTGTCATGGCCAGATATTACATTACTGTGGCTGTCATGGCCAGATATTACATTACTGTGGCTGTCATGGCCAGATATTACGTAACACTGTGGCTGTCATGGCCAGATATTACGTAACACTGTAGCTGTCATGGCTAGATACTACATCACAGTGTGGCCGTCATGGCCAGATTTTACATCACACTGTGGCTTTCATGGTCACATATTACATTACTGTGCCTGTCATGGCCAGGTATTATGTAACACTGTGGCTGTCATGGCCAGATATTACATTACTGTGGCTGTCATGGCCGAATATTACATTACTGTGGCTGTCATGGCCGGATATTACATAACACTGTTTATCTTGTATCTGGCAGTGTCAATTTACCTCACAGTTCTCACATTTGTAACGTGTAGTTGCACTGCTACCTAAAAACTCTAATCAACTTATCTTGCTGCCAATCTTGCTGCCACATATCAGAACATACTACAAATGTGCCCTCTTTGATAAACTAAGAGCTCTGGGAGTTATAAGTGGATGAGAAACTTTTGGGGGACCCTTAATGATTTCTGAATTGTGACTAGATTAATGGATAAAACTGTTTAGACTGTGTTGTGAGAAGAAGAAAAAGAATTAACCGAGGCGCACTGCCATCAAAGGATGCAGGTACAGATGTGTGCTATCCTGCATGCACCTATTTCATTCAGATTCTGTGACAATGACAGAAACATCTGTGAGACATTTTCTTGGGAGTTTCTAAAATGTTCGGCTAGTATAACTCTTTGAATCCTCTAAGATCAGTTCAGCGATCTGAAATTGTCAGAAACAGAAAGCTGTCAGCACAAATCATTTTTAAAAAATACTCACATTCAAACTGTTGACTACAGGGACAGGTGTAACAGGTCTGCTTACTGCACCCATGCCTTCATAAAAGGTATATTCTGCTTTGTCAGTGCTGATGATTGTCCATGAGGCACCATCCGTTATCATCTCCTTATTGGCTTCTTTTGGACATGGAGTTGCCTATATAAGAGAACAACATTATAAAAAGTAGCATAAATATTTAAAATGAAACTACTATTGAAAAAAGTTTACAAGAAAATTATGGCCGCTACAGGTGAAACCTATGAATAAAGAATGTAAAAAAAATAGTATGAGAATCAACATTGAAAAGACAGAAGTAATGTCAATAGGAAGAAAGAAGCATAAACTAAATTTAGCAGAGGAGGGCACTAGCTGTTCTGCCTTGAGAGCTTGGTCTAGCCCTATGAGTGCTTGTACCAATAGGGTGAAAGGGTGACACTATTAGGTTGTTAGTCCCTTGATCAGGAAAACCCTTCTACAGTCAAGACCGTTGTGCGTGACACCAATCAATCAGACCCCACTCCCCTTCCACATGTCAAGTAGAAATTCAAAATATGTTCCAGATTTGAGTTTCACAAATGATAAGTGCAGTACACCATTTTCTAATTTTTTAATCATGCACTGTGAATTCGTCACAAATTCATGTACTTCCTGCAATCACCAGAAAGCTGGTGTCCCTACTCTAGCAATCACCAAAAAGCTGGTGTCACTACGTTAGCAATCTTCTTCTTTTTCTTCGCGTTCACCAGCTGTAAACTCTGACAGAAAGTTCTGGTTGTTTATCCACTTTTGGACTGCAGTTCTGATCCAGAACCTGAGTGTTGCATGTGCATCCATTTTACAGATCTGATTCAATTGTATGCAGACTGCTGGTTCCCTGCCTCTCAGGCAGATGCACTCCGACTTCGAAGGAAGTTCCCAATTAGCCGACTCTTCCGACATACTTTTGGGTATGCAGTGAGTCTGTTCTTGTTTCCCCTGTAATAGAGCCCACACGGGGTACTACTCTAGCAATGAAACCTCTTTTTCTTGTGCCATCATACTGTTAATGGGTTGTCATGAAACCTCACCCACTGATTTTATCTCCTACTTTAGATGTAGTGATCCCTATGTGACAAGATTTTCCACTACAAATCCCTTTCCCAGAGTAATTCTCAATAAAGAGAAAGTGAACGTCGTTCTGAGGTTCCCCCATTATCAAATGTCACAACAAAATTACCAGTAGAAAATAGCATGAGCTAACCAACTAGAGGACACACCTGTCAACCCACCTGAAACTGGATTATTCTCTCCTGTGAGAGACACAAATACATCCTTTCTGTATCTTTGAGGTAGAAAGCACATTTATGTAGCTGGGACACCGGATCATCAGCGTCCAATAATGAAGTCTGTTTATCAACTTTGCGAATGATCTAATTAGGAAAATCAAATCAAAATTACAAGTTAATAAGCGAATGGATATACAAATGCTGTTTAAAACTCACCTTTATCCTTTCTCTCGACAGTACAATTACGCAAATTTCAGGGGGTAAGGAAGAGAAACAGATATTAAACATACCGCTGGAACTACACCAGGTAAGATAATAAGGTTATCGCAGGTTTACACTTCCCAGCAAACAGGTTACTAAATAGTTGCTCCTTTCTTGTGCCAGCCAAAGCCTCACAGATAGTCCATCACTGTCCTTGTGGACAAATTGACAGACTGCAGTCTCAGTATATCCAATAGCATGCACACACTGAATGCATAAGGCTGCTGTCAGAAATGCCAACACAAACACACTGACACTAGAAATGCAGTTGATCATCGATGGAAGCAGTAGTTACTCAGATCAGTAGCTGCACACACAATTAATCACACAAGGCATGATCACCTCTTTTACAACCAGTCGCCAATTCCTGAGTCTACAGTCACAATACAAACCATGTTTGGCACAGCTGAAATGCATTCCAAATGAAATCCACAGCTCAGTGTTGCACCATGCATTCAACTTTAACTGGGCAATGAAACTATATCCTTTCAGTTTATATATAAAGGAAAATGCAACAGCCAACTTATGTCAGAAGCAACAAAAAAACTTGCCACGACTAACAACAGTAAACCACCTATCCTTCTTATTGACCGGATGGCATGACCCCAAAGTCATCTAAAAAAAACACCTTGATATAGATACATACACACACACACACACAAGAATTTAATACAAACTATGCTGACAAAAATCAAATAACTGACTCCACACAGAAAGACACTCAAGCGAAACCAAAAGACATACTGTGCCAGGGATACTTACCAACCTCGGCAGTGCCATTCCTGTGACCGAGCACACGAGTTTAACAGTTGATCCATAATGAATATAACCATCTTTGACTGTAAACTCTTCTGACTCTCCTTCATCATCATCAACTGAAATGAAGCAAATGCAACAATTAATTTTCCAACAGAATACAAGTGTTTACATTGCGCTAGCAAAATTAAAACAAAAAAGTTAACATGGAGTACCAGGTCAAGTAAATAAAGGTAGTTGGGGTGACAATGACATCACTACTTATTATCATCATTAATGATGTACAAAAAAATGGGACTAGGACCATATAGCTTCTTCTTATTCTGTCCTTCCTTCCAAATGAAGCCTAGGACATCAACCAACTCATGCAGCATCCACACGTCCTCCTGATCTTTTCAACTTCCATCTCTAGTCCTCTCTTCATACGTTTTTTTTAAAATTTTGGTCTGCCTTTATTTCTATAATCCTATTGGTTTCAACACACAGACATTCTTGTTATTCTGATTGCAGGTTTTCTCAACGTGCGTACTATCTTCACCTCCTGATTTATGGTAATTTGTTTAGTTCTCTCCAAAAGTTCCTTAACATTACTGATCATACCATACTATTTAATTCCCTCTATTCTGCACAGTTAATGAATGTTTGTTGTTTATTAGTATTTGCCTTAGTTCTTCTCCTCATTTCCATACAACAATACTGATTTGAAAACAGAATTAAAAATTTTAAGTTTAGCATTAGTTTTAATTTCCTCCGACTTTCACAGATTTCCTAGTACTATGAAAACTCCTCTCACCATTTGTATTCATATGTGATATCCCTATCAGCCCCTCCCAAATTTACCTACACTACTGCTAACAAAGGTGTATGTATGACTCCACATCCTGGAGTGGGATATCATCAGGAGAAATTAGATTTATGTCTGTCTGGTTGATTCTCATAATCTTTGTCTTTTTAGATCTAGCTGTTGTGATCTCACATCAAGTATGGCTACTTTATCCAGCACCTGATTCTGTGAGTGGTAGAGAAGAGAAATATCATCAGCAAAATCCATGTTATCGTCACCGTTTTTAAGGGTCTACTAAATTCCACTTCTGGTGGTAGCTGTTGATGTCTTCATAATCCAGTCTACTAGTGTAAGCTAAAAAAGACATCGCTGTCGCACACGTTTTTTATTTCAAATATATATATATTAGTTCCCCCTCCCCAGAAGAACTCAACATTTCATGTCTTTATATGTTGCTTTCATTAAAAATTTTCTGCGGGATGCCATTATGCCTCATCAACTTCCAGAGAGATTCCCTTATCAATACCATCAAAGGGCGTTTTCATAGTCAACAAATCCTCTACAAATCCAACATAAAGTGGTGAATTAAATTTGATGCTTTACTCTATTTTATGCGTAGTATGCTATCTGGTCAGTATAGGATCTGTCTGTTTGAAAACCTGCCTGTTCATCCCTTAGCTATTTATCAATGGCATTCAGCAGTCTTTCCAAAATAATCCTATCTAATAAATCTCCAGGAACTGAGAGCAACAAAATTCTGTTATATATAGTTTCCATACTCCCACAGGTCACCTGTTAGAATGCCCTTTACTTCATTACTTACGATATTTTAAAGCTGCATGTAAAATTCCCCCTTAACAAATGATTCATCCTTATCATTTGTTGATGCATAACACTATTACCAACATGTTTATTTTCTCTTTAGTTGTTCTAAATGACCCTCTTTTTTATTCTAGGATTCACTGCTTATATAGCTGCCCGAAAACTGTTTGTGTAAGTAACAAAATGGACAGCAGCCTTGGCTAACCAGATAAACTATAAGAGTGAAGTAGGAGTAATATCCTACTGTTAGTTAGTTGCGTATCCTTCACAGCATGTTGCAGAACAAACCCCAGCATTTATTAGCTGTTGTGCTTTTACTAGGCAAGTTTACATCCAGTAATTCGCCACTCATTTCCAGACGGTAGACTTCTCGATGCTACTATCGAAACCAACACAAGGCCAGCAGCTAGGATCGAACCCGGCACTAGAAAACGTGTTCGCAATGCCTAGGCCACAGACGCCGACTATCCTACACAGAAGACAGGGATGCCGTACAAGGCGGTAGAATCTAGACAGCTCACCGGAGCAAAGCAGCAGCCTGGCACAGATAAGTCATGTTTAGGACACATTAGCAAATATAACTGGTGAATACTGGGCCGCAACATTACTCCCCTACCGAGTGCAATGAAGACAACAAGCATGCATTTAAAAAGTTGAATTAAGGTCACGGATGGGGATATGTACATACAGAAGTATGTGCTGAATTTTATGGAAACAAACGGGTAAACCCCAGATTCAGGAGAGACGGAGAATACAAAGAAAGTTGTTGAAAGAACAAACATTAAAATAAGACATGGATAGACTCAATGCAGGCCAGCAAGGGTTGGATAGTAAAGACAGGTTTGATTTGATTTGATTTAAGAACTGACATCACAGCACTCGGGGCATTCCCATAAGCGCTCCGTCCCCATTTTCAGCAGCCAGCGAAGAGTTCCGATACTAATGGTGCCAGTAGCTTTTTGATTAAACGTCCGTCTTGCCTTTCCTCTGAGCCTCGAGCATCTGCTAGAACCACTCGTCACCCCCAACTGCATCAATCTCACCAGACTGTGGTGATCCACCTGCTCCTCCGAATTGTACACGCTCTCCCACAAGGCACTAACCAGGTCTGCCTTATCATGTATCAGTATTCCACCAAGTTGTGCAGAGCCAGCAAGTCTGTCCGACTGTTCATTTCCTAACACACTGGCGTGACCCGGTGAAAAAATTCAGACAATACTCCTCACTCGTGTCCTCCGCAGCGAAGCAAGCCACTCTGCACCTAGCATACCTGTTCTGATCTTCCTCAGCATGCTTTCTGAATCAGTTACATTCACGATGTGTGTGTGTGTGTTGTTGGTTAACCCTAACAGACACACAGCAGTTTCAGAAAGTCTATGGTCAGGATGAGAGACAGGGTGATGGAGATCTACTACAATAACATTCACTGTGAAGATAGCACCTTACCAATTAGAATTTAGAAAAATGAAACAGCAGTACTTACGTAGGTGAATTGTAAAAGCTCCCCACTGTGTGGAACTTGCATGAAAGTTGCCATTTTCTACATGCAGGTAACGTGTGCTAACAGTTTGAGAGCGAAGACGGTTGAACAAGGCCACTTTTGTACCGGAAGCAATGCATACTTGAAGACAAATTCAATCATTTTCAGTCAGTTACTACAGTAAGTTGAAATTAATAAATACAATGTATACATGCCTCAAAATACACAGCGGAATTTGACAGCTGCATTTCTTATACATTTATGTTTAAACAATCAATATTTCAAATGTAATGACTACAGAAATGGGAATTCATGAAAATATTTCTCAAATCACTAGTAAAACAAACCAAGTACTAGGACAGCTCCTTACAGCATAAGACAATCCCAATCAGCACAAGACAATCCCAATCAGCACAAGACAATCCCAAACAGCACAAGACAATCCCAATCAGCACAAGACAATCCCAAACAGCACAAGACAATCCCAATCAGCACAAATAAACATCTCATACAAAGCTTATTCCTTTCCACACTAGGGTAACAGTACCAGACATAGCCATTCAAAATTAACCAGAAAAGAACATTAGTAACCACTGGAATGAGATGTCTAAGAAAGGATGAAGGAGTGACCAGAAGAGATAAAATTAGGAATTATGTCATCATAAGAGCAAGATTCAGCACAGAAGCAATTCTACATTACTTACAAAGACAGTAAATAAAATATTTACCCACTCAGGGAGAATGCCTTGTAACGCCATACTGTAGAAGGCATATACCAATAAAACAAAACAAAAAGGAGATGAGCAAAAAGGGGTAGACCAAGAACAGGATGGAAAGATACCATCAGAGGAACACTACATCAGCATGACGTGTCTATGGTCGGGGCAGACAGAAAAGCAATAACCTCAACCTGAATCTATTTTGACACCTGAAGCGGTACAAGAGGAAGTGAAGAAACAGACAACAAAGCAAATTATACATTTCCAAAACTACACATCATAGTTTTTTTCATATATACACTGATGTAGTATTTTTGTACATTTAATTACCTGCTATAAATAACTGTGACATGCCCAAAACAAAATATATATATATTGTGGGTATCATACAGGTTAAGCACAGGTTTTGATAATAAAATATACACACAACAAATGGATGTCAGTCAGCAAAGACTGTGGATCTGGCCCAAGGGAGCCACATTGCAAGAGAAGCTATGGGGGACCGGTGGCGACCTTAAACGCACAATCCTATTTGTGTCCCAGACGGGACTCAATGTTTAGCATGACTGATGTCGAACGCAGAAGAAGAAGAAGTCATGGACTATCTCAGTCGTTAAGGAAGAAAACAGGGGCCTTTGAGCTGTAATGCCTTAGGAAGATTGGTACTTATCACAAACTTATCCTTCCCCTCCCATTCATGCTGTGGCTGGTCGCACGGTCTGTCCTATAGTGTGTGGGGGGGGGGGGGGGGGGGTGTCATGAATTCCTTATTTTCAACAGTTTGAACGTTGTCTCTTTTCTTGTGTTGTCACCTATCACTTGCCTGATAATTTCTAAGTTGTGCTATTTGCCAGAAATTTGTGACTATTGAAATTAGGATGTTTTTGTATTTCTATGTTCCTTGTCAGTGGCTTCTTTTTCTAGTTGAAAGCAACCACCAAGTAATGTAGATATTTAAAAAAACAAACATCCCAGTTTCAAAAAACATCCCAGTTTAAAAAAACATCCCAGTTTCAAAACTAATGATCAGCTGCGCCTTCGGCACTTCCCTCTCCAGTACGTCATACTTGTGCACGGGCGCCTATGGCATCTCAAAGCGACTCATGACAACACAAGCTCCTACAAACATTATATAAGGCAAAGCCATCTCATAACATAGGACAGGCCGTGGGACCTGCCGGGGCAAGAATGGCAGGAACTCTTGCCATGTGGGCAAGTTCATAAAAAGTTCCGAAAGATTCTCTAAATATTTTGGTCATATCAAAAACAACAGCGATTTGGAAAGAATAATAGCAGAAAAGTTGGTATTAGGAAAGAGGGGCCAACCAGCACGAAGGCGGGAAGAGTATAAAAGTGACACCATGGGTAGGAAAGTGCACGAGGTGAGAAAGCTGGTGAGAGTCTGAGTTTTATTCAGGCAGACCATGATGACAGCGACGTTCTGCAAAGGATCTGCTACAGGAAGATGATATGCCTACCTGTGTACATGAAAGAAGCTCTGCAACACTGCAGTGCCGAAGGCGTGACGGTTTGTGAGCACAGAATCATTGATGTTTTTTTATTTCTACACTGTTGGCGGTGGCTGACGAGTGGTGGATGTCCTCAACCCAACACCCCCCCCCAACAACAACAAAAACAGCAACACGCTGACACCCCTTAAACATAGGACAGCCTGCGGATATTATGCAGCCGTGCGAGATGGGGTGAATTGCATGATTAGTACCAAAAGATCTAACCTGAACAGAATCAAATGCACAAATTTACCCCCAATGCTGCACTATTACACTGGTTAGGTTTATTGCTCGCTTTTCAGCATAAGATGCAACATGCAACTTTGTTCTAGCGTTGGTGCTGATACCTGCAGGGAGTGAAAAATCTGCACAGCTCAATTCTGACAACAGGAAGAGATGGACAAAGGCAATTTTTAATGGCCATATTATTTGGTAAAGGAACATTCTCGTATAAATATCCCTCAACAACAGCTACACCCTAGGTAGCATCTGCTTGAACATCTACTTTTTGATTTCAGATTACATTCTGAATTCTGAATGATTCTGAATGCCTGCAGTGTGCTTAGGGTCTCCCATCCACCTTGGCCTAAGACAGACATTATGTGTGTCCTTAGGTTTGTACGAATCTACGCAGCCTACCCTTCACTGTGAAAATGAACCAGATCTGCCTGAGCCATAGATGGACCTCTAAGCTAGTGCACCCCAAAAAATATACAATAAACTACTAATTTGCACACTTCCAGACACCAAGCAGTCAAATCAATATGTACACAACACCAAGCAGTCAAATCAATATGTACACAACACCAAGCAGTCAAATCAATATGTACACAACACCAACACTGGACTTACAATCTGCATTTTTTAAAGACTGCTTCTTCTTGGATGGTTTGGAGATTACTTTTATACGTTTGCTCTGAAAAATGCCGATGTCTTGACCATTTCCATAGAACATTTTCACTGTCAGCATAAAGTGCTTCCTTTTGTCAGAGTCAGATATGTACAAGGTTTTCGCAGCACAGTATTTCTGCAGTAACAGAGATTACACCCACATCAGAAATGAAACCACCAAAACAAACTTTCTCACATCCACCAAAACAAACTTTCTCACACACACACACACAGAAAGAAAGAAAGAAAGAAAGAGAGTGAGAGAGAGAGAGAGAGAAATAAATAAATATGGGGGGGGGGGGGGATAATTATTTGCCACAACATTCATTTAAAAAAAAAAATTTAAGCTTGGCCTTTCCACTACATGTACAACAGTCAGAAATTTGGCAGCGAACGACCGACTACAAATTAGAAAATGCCATCTTTAACTTGCATTCTCTCTCACGCTCTCAATCCCTTGGCAGTTGAAAATCGAAAAGAGTAGCCTAACGGCGCTGCCCAAACAAAATTTGGAGTTAAAAATCTACCTATAGTATTTCAGGATCCTCGTCAGTGCTACAGAGTTTGTGCACTGCACTGAGATTCTTCAGACTCTGGCTGAGTTAGAAGTAGAACCGAGCACTTATGGGTGCCATGATTTTGACCCGTTGTATAAACCATAAGTGAGATCCTCATACAATATGAGATAGCTTCATCAAGACATGCAATGTACTGATTCCTTGTTCTTCATTAAAGTTACTTTGTAGAAGACCCCCCCCCCCCCCCCCCCCCCCCCCATCTGCAAACTTCATTCATGTTTTTACTATATTCCCCTTGAGTTAAAGTTTTTACTGACTTCAAAGTGTTATTCTTTCAGTGATTCATCATAATTTATATATTGCTTTAGAACAAGGCTAAGCACCCTATGCCCCCCCCCCCCCAAGCAATTGTTACTGGCCTGTAAGGTAGGTGTTCAAATACTGTATAATCTGACCCTTGAGCTCGAAAAATATGATTTCTGCAAATAATCAGCTTCAATACAGATATTTAGGAATATACAGAAGAGCTTCAGTGGGTGAGTGTGTCTGGCCAGATGTATAGCTAGGGATTATAATCTTATATTGCCCCACAAAAATAGTGTCACGAGGAAATGTGTGTCATGCTTATAATGGATTTTTCTACATGTTCCATGATCAGGTTGATAATTCTAAATTTGGCCAGTGGACCAAAAAAGGCAGCTAAACCCGGCTTCATAATGATCAACAAGGTTAGCTCTCGTTAGAAAATTTGTGTCCTGACACTATTTTCTCTCCCTGCAATGCTGTCTGTGGTTGTATTTCTATATTAATTGTGCTTTACCAATCGCATTGAATCATCATTATCTGTAATGAACCTGAGCTCAATGGGAAGCACAGGCTATTGTCATTCCATGTTCATCTGTTTTCTTCTTCTGCCTTTCTATCCCCATGTTCATTTGTAATGTCCTTAATGTTGTCATCAGTTTAGTTTCTTCTTTGGTGCCTGCCCTCTCACATCAGATCTATCAGGTGGCAGCACCTTTGCTGGTTAGGTGTCATAGCTGCACTCCAACACAAATATTTAACTTTTCACCTTCTGCTTGTCAATGAATTTGGAGCAAGGTGTTAGTCCCATCGATTTGTGTGACAGTATTATTTCTCACTTGACCTCGGATGTTTAAGGTGCGGGCATTCTTCAGACATTACCTTAGATATCATTCTCCTCTTCATGATTTGCAAGTACCAACTACGTATCTGCTGGTTTTAACAGGCAACACTACACTATTACACACGGCTTTCATTGTAAGAATGCCAGCCGCAGAATCTAATTGTAGACAACTTATGACTGTCATACAGCATTAGAAAATGACAATATATCAATGAACTTACCTTTCCCTCTAAGTTCAGCTGCACCATTTCTTGATCTGAATTTCCAATACCCATAAAAGCACATACTTGTGTATCCTGATCTGAGGCGCCCTCTTTTTCCATCTGCTCTTGTTTTTCTTTCCAACCATTGCCAAATAAATAAATGCAAGGTGGTGGACAGAAAAATCTAACGACAAAGATTTGATTCTTGTTAGACACAAATATTTTACAGCCTTTAATCACCTAACCACAAAAAACAGTGTGTGTTTGTTCACTTTAACACTCAAACATTACAATAAATATTTCCCCTCATTTCAAAGGGCTAAATCTCAAAAAAGATTGTGTTGGAGAAAAAGAAAATCAATAATGCAACATATCTTCACTATTTAAAGTCTGTGTAGAAGAATTCTGGCTTCTAAGATGCAATAACAAGACAAACAAGAAGTGCTGGAGTAACTTATTTCTATTACTAGAAACAAACACACACACACATACACAGCTGGACAATGGGGTCATACATCTTTTCCTTGTAATATAACGTATCTCTGGAAATAATGGTAATTCCTGCCCAGGTCATGTGTTTATATATGCAGATGGCTCAGTGTTGAGAGGCAGAAGAAGTGCCTGGGGGTTCACAGCAAAAGCAAATGGACTACACTTAGTGCAACAAAGTCTAGATGTAGCACAGCAATCTTCTTTGTGTATGTTGATGTCACACCCAGGTTCGTCTTTAGTTTGCTACAGGAGGAGTCAACTGAAAGAGAATAGACAAGGAGAACGATGGTCGTGTCGGTAGTGGTGATGATGATGATGTTCTGCTTGCAGCAAGCTTCTCACGTGACTCTGATGCTTGTATAATAAAATGTCTGGAAACAACAATTCTTTTCTGAACTGTCTTTATTGTGATACTTCAGTAATATCACAAATAACATCAATGATATTCTGAATGGCCACTGTTTTAGCTATATGGTTACATACTCTTAAGGTCGAGTTGTGTTTTTCATCTCCAGTTACTTTGTTAACTGGTTCTAGTGTCTGTAACTGCCACCTGGCTTCTAGTGCTGTCTGGTACTAACGGCTTAATTGTCAACTCTAACATCTCAATAGTGTTTCTACCTAATGTGTTTTTGTTAACCATGGATCCATGTATCTTGTCTGTCGTCTGTGTAGTTCAATGTCTCGTTTCATGTCTCTTCTCTTGTGACTGTCTTCGAAGCTTCATGTGACTGGTTCCTCTGCTTCTAGTGTTGAGCTGACATCTCTATAACTGAAGGCTCTTGACTACGAGGGTCCATGAGACTAGCCACTTGTCTTCTGAGTCTCAACGGCTGAAGGTTGAAGATTCAGCCACTTGTCTTCTGAGTCTCAACGGCTGAAGGTTGAAGATTCAGCCACTTGTCTTCTGAGTCTCAACGGCTGAAGGTTGAAGATTCTTTCTAACATATGAGGGTCAATATGACTATTCCCCCCCCCCCCCCTCTACCAAGTCTTGATGACCAAAGACTTTTCAAGTCATTTCTTACCCACTATTTATACTGAGATGCTGGAATGCATGATATGTGTTTTCTACTCACTAATTGCTTCTAGAATATTCTTGTATGCTAAAACTTGTTTACTATATGCGTTCTCATGTGAGATTTTGTAATTACATCTCGACTGCATCAGACTGTCTACACCAAAAGATACTAACTGGATGGACAGGTATTCTTCTACAGTAAAGGTTAGAATTCTAGTCTTAAAAAAAAAAAATCTTCAATTTTTTATCACAATTATCAAAGAACAGAAATAAAATTAAGAATACAAGAGAAAAAATAAAACAAACCTTTTCTCATTACCATATGACTTCTGGGCAACCTTTGCATGTAAAATGACCAGAGTTTGATCATCTCTTTTCCTCAGATAGTTCCGCATGGCCTCCCTTAAGTAACAGTAAGCAATAAACATTATTTTTCAATGAATAATATAATGAAGATATACTGCAACAAATGTTGCAAACAAATTAGACCTTGACATAAAATATAAAAATAAGACATCACTTAATAATGTATAAAGAAAAGGACACAGAAAATGTAATTATACCCATAATCAAGGCAAAACTTTTGGACACAAGAAACACCGGTGCAAGCCAAATTTACAGATCGCTGTTTGAATTACACAGAGAAGTTCCTACTAGAGACAACATTGCAGATAAAGATAATCTATTTCAAGCGAACGAAAGAAGAAGAAGAAGAAGAAGAAATGGGACAGTGAGGGAATTGAATTAAAATTGTCACTGGCACAGGAAAGGATCATGTATGGCTTGAACCGACTGCAGTGAAACCTCAACTAAGATAAAAGAAGGTAAACAATGGAACCACAAATGATTATGATTAGAACTACAGCCAGTAATTGTAGGACATATACAATGTTTGAGTCTTTATTACCATTTTAAATCAATTAACATATGTCTAAACATACATTATAAATATATGGTTTCACAGTGCTTATTTCCGCCCTCTTTATATGTAGGTCTTATCCCATTATCTGTAGTTCTATACCTGACTATTGAATTCATATGATATTTCATGCATGATATTCCTATCAAGGAAGGAGGGGTAGGGGCCGACTAACACAAAGATAGGCACAGGATATAAGTGACTTCTTGAGTATGAAAGTACATGAGGCGGGAGAGCTGGCGAGAGACCAAGTTTCTTTCAGGCAGACTGTGATGAGAGCAACGTTCTGCAAAGGACCTGATATATAATGACAATGATGATGATACTCCTATCAAATCATATTTAAAAATCACATATCAGGTGAAGATAAATTTCAAACCTAGCGAGTGATATTTGTCTCTTTAATGAGTTGTTTTAGGTCAGACACTAATATCTGAGAATTCAATTCTGTTTATACTGCTGGAGATTTCAATTCATGAAATTTAAAGACAATATTTGGGATATTTTAAGGTCATGTTTGTTTACTTGTAAGGTCCAAAATGGTTGCATTTTTGCATGATTTTTAGGTCATAAAAGGCCCTTGCTCCAACTATGACTATAATTGTGTAGCAGCTGCAGGTTTTAAGTCAAACTGCTGACAAATTTAATACACAATTACAAATATACACTAACCTTGTGAGCTTTTGTTCTTGGAAAGGTCTGAAACAAATAAGTACATACAGTAGAATATACCTTGCCTGCCATGCATCAATTTACAATCAGGTGGTGCAGAATTAGTTCCATAAATTCATTATACTGATTTCAACTGCAGTCACTCCTGTTTTTGACAAGCATTCCACATAAACAGAAGCACCTAAACAATTATACATGAGAACGCATTTACTCATGCTTACGCATAAACACACATGAGAATGACTTTATAATACAATGAGAGTGTACAAATTAGACCACACATAATCCCCCTCCCCTACAAAATCCCTGAGAGTACAAGGAGCAGAAGCTATAAAAATGCTGAAAAATCAAGAAAACAGAAAATGATCAGCAAGCAAGGTATTTATAAGGGACTAGGAAGAGCAGAATGATGCCAAAAAAAAATATGTATACAATGAAAGTTACTGTATCAAATATACGTGCGGCCTTCCGGCTTTGTTAAAACTTAGTGCAAATGAATCTGACAAAATACAGCTAGAATTAACTCTTGTCACACGTGACACATACCCAAGCATAGAGTTGGTGGAATATACTGCTCCTCCACTAGATGTGTCAACTTCCATAGACGGTCTACCACTAGCAGTAACTGTTGAAGGTGGTGGTGTTGGTAATGGAGATGGAGGAGCCTGCACCGTAGATGTGATAGCTGTCATGTCGAGACCACCAGGAGATGGCATTCTAACTAGGTCACCATTGTGCTTGTCTGGTGGCGTTAGAGAACCTGCCATGTGTTGTCCACCCCCATCTATAAATATGTATAAAACAAAAAGATTAAAAACAATGCAATTTTTGAATAACAACAACCCCACACATTATTTGCTTGATAGGAGATAACCTATTGTATGCATTTAATGTTTCTTTAATTCACGCATGATTGCCCTTCGGCTGGGTACATGGACCTAAGAACCAAGTAATATAGTCTCGGGACTACCCCAGGGTTCTGCAATTTCACCGGTGCTCTTTGATGTGTATACAAGCAAGACTTGAAGCACCAAGTGTTGGAAGGATACTGACATTTGCTGATGATGTTCTTGCATGTAGGCAAGAGAGTGACGGACAACGGATAGCCCAAGAGTTGCAGGCAACTGAAGACAAAATGACTGACTGGTGTTCAGAAATGGGTGCTGTCATCAACCCACAAAAGGCGGCTGTTTTGTGGTGCTCTCTAGACAATAGAATTGTAAGAGTTAATGTTCCGAGTCTCACAATTAATAACAGTAACATCAAAATAGAAAGCAAACTGAGGTACCTGGATATCACTTTTGATAGAAGCCTGTCCTACAGGGAACACGTGGAGGCAGTTGTAGTGAAATGCCAAAAAAGGACTCAATGCTCTCAAGATTATGGCAGCAATGGATATGGAACAAAGAATGTTGATCACAATGTACCAGCATGTGATCCTATCGGTGATAGATTATGGACTTGGAATGCATACCATATCAAAAAGTCAGATGATAAAACTCAAATGGGTAATTCTAGGATGTACAAGAGATGCCCCGGTAGTATATATGTGATATATATGTGCACTGCCTACTATTGTATGGTAGGCTTAAAGTTCGGCAGGCAAAATCAAATCTCAGAGTAGTTGCAGACAAGAAGTACCTCCTGCGTGAAGCCCTGGGTAGTTAAGGGTCACAGACTGAAAAGATGGTGCAAGCTGAAGACACAATTGGACATATGTGCAGGCATGATAAATTTGACAGAGGAGAGGAGTGAGTCAAGGTGTCAGAACAAGTTTCAGACTTGTGTAGGGTTCTAATCACTTTAGGTCGTTGAGTGCAGAGACTGGCCAGCTGGTACTGCAGAATCAGAAGTTCAACAAATGATCCATGACAATTCTCGCCCAAGTGGTGTGATTATCTATACAGATGACTCTGTGTTGGGGGGCAGACAAAGTGCACAAGGGTTCATGGCAAAGTCAAATGGACGTCGCTTAGTGCAGCAAAGCCTTGCATATGATATCATGTCTACCTTAAGAATGGAGGTGGAAGCAGTCTCTGCTGTCTTCAGAATCAGCTGTACACACAGGCCGTAATTGTAACTGACTCAGAGCACGTGAGAAAAGTGAAGACAGGCATGCTTCGTTTAGAGTGGCAAGCATCACTTCAAGGTGTGTTGGGAAATAGGTGGGCAGATAGACTGGACAGTTCTGCACCACTTGGTGGTGAATTGATGTATGACAAGCTAGATATTGTTAGGGCTCTTTGGGAACGAGTGAACAGAGCAGATGCGCAGATAGATCATTACGGTCCGAGGAGTTACCAGGGGATGTGGCCAATGCTCAACACTCAGGGGAAGGATGAGACGGATCTACAATCAGGCGGCTACTGGTGCCATCGGAATTGGAACTCTTAACTTACTGTTGAAGCACTTATGGGAGTGTCCCGAGTGCTGTGATGTCGATTCTTAATTCAACATCTGGTTTCATGAGTAATATCTGAGAGAGATCATCAGCAAAGTCCAGATCATCAAGGCACATTCAAATTCACTTCTGGTGTTGGAGATGTGGAGGTGCTGAACCAACTGGTGCTACATCTTTTCACGACCATCTTAGAAACAGGTTCTTAATCAGGGGCCTGGCCAAGGTAGATAAGATCAGTGTTTTCTACAAATTGGGGATGCATCTACCTGAGAGGCGAGAAACCTACAATCTACACACAATTAAGCCAGATCTGTAAAATGGATGTGAATGCAAAGACAAGTCTTGGAACAAGACCAAGTTCGGAGATGGACAAGTAACAAGGACTTTCTGTTTACAGCCAGTGAACATGAAAAAAAGAATTACTGGTGTTAGTTATAGCTGTCTTCACAATCCGGTCTACAGTCACTAAAAATAGTTTTTTTTAAAAAAGGCATCCCTGTTACAAATCTGTTGTTATTTAAAATGTAATGTATCTGCTAGTTTCTCCACATGAAGAACTCAGCATGTCAAAGGACTGTGAACATCCTGGGTGGACAAGACAAATATTGCAAATATACTGGGTGGACAAGAAGAATATTGCGAATATCTTGGATGGACAAGAAGAATATTGCGAATATCTTGGATCGACAATAAGAATACTGTGAATATACTGGGTGGACAAGAAGAATACTGTGAATATACTTGGTGGACAAGAAGGATAAATCATCCAAGACAAGAAAGCTGTCTAAGTTCACAATTCAATCTACAGTCAGTAAGAATAGTTGAAGTAACAAAAGGCATCCTTGTTACAAATCTGTTATTATTTAAAATGTTTCTGCTAGGCATGTCAAAGGTCTGTGAATATCCTGGGTGGACAAGAAGAATACTGTGAATATACTGGGTGGACAAGAAGAATATTGCAAATATACTGGGTGGACAAGAAGAATATTGCAAATATACTGGGTGGACAAGAAGAATACTGTGAATATACTGGGTGGACAAGAAGAATACTGTGAATATACTGGGTGGACAAGAAGAATATTGCTAATATACTGGGTGGAAAAGAAGAATACTGCTAATATACTGGGTGGACAAGAAGAATACTGCGAATATACTGGGTGGACAAGAAGAATATTGTGAATATACTGGGTGGACAAGAAGAATATTGCAAATATACTGGGTGGACAAGAAGAATATTGCAAATATACTGGGTGGACAAGAAGAATATTGCAAATATACTGGGTGGACAAGAAGAATATTGCAAATATACTGGGTGGACAAGAAGAATACTGTGAATATACTGGGTGGACAAGAAGAATACTGTGAACATCCTGGGTGGACAAGAAGAATACTGTGAATATACTGGGTGGACAAGAAGAATACTGTGAATATACTGGGTGGACAAGAAGAACATTGTGAATATACTGGGTGGACAAGAAGATTACTGTGAATATACTGGGTGGACAAGAAGAACATTGTGAATATACTGGGTGGACAAGAAGATTACTGTGAATATACTGGGTGGACAAGAAGAACATTGTGAATATACTGGGTGGACAAGAAGAATATTGTGAATATCCTGGGTGGACAAGAAGAATATTGTGAATATGATCGGCAGATAAAAAGAATATTGCTAATATACTGGGTGGACAAGAAAAAAAATAGTGCTAATATACTGGGTGGACAAGAAGAATATTGCAAATATACTTGGTGGACAAGAAGGATAAATCATCCAAGACAAGAAAGCTGTCTAAGTTCACAATCAGTCTACAGTCAGTAAGAATAGTTGAAGTAACAAAAGGCATCCTTGTTACAAATCTGTTATTATTTAAAATGTTTCTGCTAAGCATGTCAAAGGTCTGTGAATATCCTGGGTGGACAAGAAGAATATTGTGAATATACTAGGTGGACAAAAAGAATAAATCATATAAGAAAAGAAAGATGGCTAAGTTCATTCACTAATTTTCAGTGGATTATGTGGATACACACTGGATATTCACCAGCTTTAATATAAGTAGTTTCTGTTATACTTTTTGTTTCTATGTTGTTCTCTTTATTTTGTTCACTCTAAAAAATATATTATTCTAGAGTATATAAGTTTATTAAGTATGAACTGTATAAGCTAAACTAATAAATTAATATTAAAATGTTTTCACGTTTAGTTTGTATATGCCTATATACATTGTCTATTCTTGGACTTTACAATTTTTTGGGGGGTGGGGGATGGGGGATGCTCAGGGACGGCCGGGAACACACTGGGAAAAAAAAACCGAGACTTAGGGTGAAAACGGGACCTCATCAATCCACAGCCTATACTGGAGACGGTAATGATTCGAATAAATATGAGAGGAATGGCTTCCAGTTTACCGTGTGGACACAATATGTGCTATTCATCACAAATATTTTGTAGAATTTAAAAAAAAAAAAATTAATAAACAGACAGTCATTGTAGCTTTTTGGGTAAACGGTCTCACAGCATTACATTTAAAATCTCAAATACGAATGCAAACAATGTAGGTCGACTGCCTATGGCCCCGTGTTCAGGGTCTGAAGCCCACTTCAAGACGGAAACATGTCCGAAAAGTGACTCCTCGAGTCACTTGGTTCTAGCCGTTCAAATGGTGTAGTAAATGATCATTTACTTCTTTGTAATTTTTTTTTTTTTACAATATATGTTATGAACAGTATCCGTTAGGTAGATGGTATTTCAATTGTGTAATGTCAGTCAGTTGTGGTTTGGTCTTTTACGCACCTACAGTTAATTTACCAGTGCTAAGGGATTGTGTGTGTGTGTGGCGCGGGGAGGGGGTCACTACGTTAACCTAGAATGTCGATGAGATAAAAATCTGAAAAAAGTACGGATGCAAACATTTGACAAAAGACAGCCTGCAAACTTCAATACGTATCTACATTTTAATTACAGCAACAAAATAGCGGCTGTCTTGTCTACCTCGTTAGCTACAAAAGTAACATAACAAAGCCGAGTACTTCAAACCTAGCCAACCCTTCCCCTCTTACACCCGCGCCTGTTCACAATATTGGCTGTTCTTAACGCCGGCTGTGCTATTTCTAAGTGAGAACGACTAGCGCGAACAGCTTGCTTTTGCAAAGTTAACAGAACAATGAGGGCAATGTAACAATGCCAACGAGTTAAACACGCAAAAACGCCTTGTGTGTTTGAAAACGAATACCGGACGCTTCATAAGCAGACTGACGGACGACTGTGCCTGTACTCGTTACTTTCCAGATCTCCGTGCACGCCCATTCTTAAACCCGGTGTCCAAGAATCAATACTCAGACGGGGGAACCACCTGAGGTACTGACATTTTTTTCCCACGCTCCATGGCGTCGCGTTTAGAACCGCCAACCAGAGAGCCTGGTATGGCAGCCAGCCATCACAGAAAATATGGCGCACTACATATGACAAACAAATTATTTAACAGCATTGTGGTTTTATGTTCTCAAGTCACGAGACTCAAGCTCTGAGATAATCATGAAACGGGCCGGATTTTAAAACACAACTTTGCGAGAAAGGGTTGTTCGCCTTACAAAACTACAACTATCATCATCATGTAGCAGGTCCTTTGCAGAACGTCGCTCTCATCACAGCTTGCCTGAAAGAAACTCGGTCTCCCGCCTCATGCACTTTCACACTCAAGGAGTCACTTATATCCTGTGCCCATCTTCGTGTCGGTCGGCCCCATGCCCCTCCTTCCTGGTACCATGCCTTCTGCTATAATTTTTTCCAATCCGTCGTGGCGATTGATATGACCAAAATATTTCAGCTTTCGAGAAAGGATGCTGTTTATTAGCCAATCTTCCTTGATGTTCAGATCTTTTAAGATGTCAGTATTTCTCATCTTCTTTGTCCAAGATATTCTGAGAATCTTTCCATAACAAAACTGCAACCGGCATTAAATAAATATGCGTGATTTCTGTTGGGTGGGAGTCATTGCCTCAGCCCCCACATAGAAAACACATTGGACCCAAACCTAGCCCTCACAAACTTTCTAGGCAAATCATGGTCTCTCTGTGTGTGTGTGTGGGGGGGGGGGGGGGGGGAAAGAGACCTCAGGTCCTTGACCTGAGATTGCACTATATCTAAGACACACATCTGGCCCTAAATTAGTTGTCAATAATGCCAGGCATCCACTCAACATAATGGTAATTCTCTTTGCCGATCATACAACAGCCCACCTACCTCGCATATCAGGGTCACGTTGAGCGCAGGGCACCCTGTTTTAGTCTTATCAACCCCCCCCCCCCCCGCACGAAAAGAATTTTTTTTAAAGAAGCCGGTGGTGGGGGTGCTTGGACACTCCTTTTAGAAGAGTGGGGAAATTTAGCGGACTACATGCACACGCGTTCTTTTTAAAAAATGTCTTTGTTAAAGCATTTCCTGTTATTTAAATTATACTATACATGCCATTGATTTTACTACTTTTATGCACTTAAACACGGCGTAGCAGCCTCACCGCTTTCTTGTTTTGGAGCCCCCGACTGGGCGTCCTCATTATAACTTCTTAAGAGGTCAAACAGGCGGATATCTGGAACTTGCAATGTTGAATTTTCATACAGGATGCGCCCCTGAAGGCAGGGATGGTTCAACGTTTATATAACCGCCCTCAAGGAGACGTATACTGTATTAAACACTCAACGAAAAGAAGGTCAATTTTGCAATTATCAGGGACTGAACCTAAAACAAATTGTTATTTTAGTGGCAGCGCCCCTGACGAGGTTTTTGGTATGCTGTATTATCCCCCCCACCCCCCCATTCAGAAAGACTCACTTCACTGTGCTTTTTTGGGACGACCGAAATTAATTAATTTTAAATTCTGCACCATGTTCGAGGGAAAAAAACTGTGTCCAGGCAGCAAGGAAGCTAACACACTGGGTTGTTTGCCCCCCCCCCTTTCCACTCAAATCCTCTAGTCAAATTGAAAGGTGGGGTTGGGGGGGGGGGGAGGAGAGGCGGGAGGAGAGGCGGACCACCAGATGCACACACCCAAAAATCATTGAGCCCACTCACAAATTCCTCATCAATAGACCCACTGCCTACCCAAAAGCATGTCGTAAGAGTCGACTAATTGGGGAGCTTCCTTTGAAGTCGGAGTGCATCTGTCTGAGAGGCAAGGAACCAACAGTCTGCATTCAAGTGAATCAGATCTGTAAAACTGATGCACACGCAACACTCAGGTTCTGGAGCAGGACTGCAGTTCAGAAGTGGGCGAGCAATCAGAACTTTCACCAGAGTGTACAGCTGGTGAACGCGAAGAAGAAGAAGACATAGGCAAACAGTTGGGGGGGGGGGGGGGTGGGAGTCATTCCCACATAGAAAACACATTGGTGGACCCCCAAATCTAGCCCTCAAAAAAAAAAAAAAAACTTTCTAGCCAAATCGTGGTCTGTGTGTGTGTGTGGGGGGGGGGGGGGGGGGGGGGGGGGGGGGGTTGCTCAGGTCCTTGAGTGTTTAACCATTTATGGAAATTTTCTGTTAATGTATTTATTCATGCATTTCATATATATATAAAAGTATATTATTACATTTATGTGCCATTCTTATTATTATAATCATGGTGCTGCAAGTAAATATAATTATATACCCGAAACAGGATGAAATATATAAGCAATTACCTTTAAAGAAAACGTTATCTCTCTCACACACACAACCGTGTATAGCACTAGCTAAAATGAACCTATACTTAATAATAAAAAAAAAAAATTCTTGACACACAGTCAAACGACAGACAACACAGCAGCGAAACACACCAGAGGACAAGCAGCGGCTGTGTACGGACGCGGTATTGACAAAACAGACACGACCATACGACAGCACACAGTATTTTCCCACGGGTTAACCTAGGCGACTGAAGAAAGCGGCCTGGCTCTGGGCACGCGACGTTGCAAGCGTGCCTGGAGAAGTGGCTACCACACGATCGTGGAAGTTTTGGCGAAAGGAATACGATTACCGAGCTGGTTTCAAGTCTAATGAAATCAGAATATGTCCACCCAGAACACGAAGACATCTGCAACCGCTATAACCGTCAAGCATTCGTGCATATTTAATGATTAGAACAAACTGAATATTAAAAGGAGAAAGGGGAGGGGGAGAGGGCTTAACATTAAAGGATCTTAACAAGCACATCGTCACAGGTAGCTAATTAGGAACTCGCTGATATATGATGTGTTGGCTCGAAAGGCACCGATACCGTAGACTTAACTGTAAACCAGAACTCGCCAATCGCCGAAGAAAACAGTCATAAAATATCTAACACGCAGGCGTGGAGTTTGTGCACTGCGCTCAGATTCTTCGGACCCAAGGCTTGAGTTAGAAGTAGAACGGAGCACTTGGTTACTATCCTTGAGCCAGGATCTAGATCTGTTGTTAAAACCAACGAAACCATTATGTAGAAGTTGACAAAGACAGTGACGATTGGGTCAAACTACGGCCTGGACAACACAGCGTAACAATTAGTGGTAATTAGTCTGACCCTCCATGTCGGCAATGGAACGCTGACGATAAGATATGGGTGCAACAGCAGTTCACCATAGGACCAAGTGATTATATAAAAGTTGGCGGAACTAATCAAGGAATTCACCCCATCTTGCTCTTGCGCAAGATCTTGTGGCTGTTGCCACGGGCTGTCTTATCTTCTACGGATGTTATGAGATGGCTCTCTTCCATGCATATACAGCGTAGTGAAAAGTTACTGGCGATCATGGCCAGGTAAACACACTATGCAGCTTTGTTTTCTATACTGTATTCTGTGTGAATGAGTGCTGTTGCTTGAATGTGTTGCCAGTGGCACGATTTGTGTGTTTGGAATCACTGATGTTTAAAAAAATAAGTATTTGTACGCTTGATGACGGTGGCTGTCGAGGGCGGTGGATGTGTTTAAAACAAGCAACACCTGACATCCCTAGAACAATCATTGGGAATGGCTACAAGCTCCGTGGGTGGGAGGTAGGGTGAATTTCATGAAAAGTACCCAGCTGGCTCTTTAGTGAGGTAATAATGGTCAGATCTTACCACAAAAGTGAATTTCCTGTCCTGGTATACCTTTAATCAGGCCGTCACTGATGACATCCATAGCATGGGAAACCTCTGCTGGCCTTTGCAGAAGGGGAAAAAAGTTGTGTGGGACGGAGGTGGGGGCGAAGTACATGAGGGAATGGTCTAGTCTACTGGTTCCCAACTGATAGCCTGTATGGAACAACTTTATGAGGTCCACGATATTTAGACAGAAAAAACTTAACCCTTTTCCCCAATTCTAATATAGATTTACTTTGTTTTTAAATGTTTATTTGTAAAGTAAGAGGTCTGTATCAAACATTTTAAAATGGTGGGAGGGAGGTGGGGGGTCCCCGCAGGCCTGATCTAAATTGTTAACCAGTGACCTAGAGCAATGATGTATATTCTTCATCCACTCAATCATTTCCTACACAAGTACCAGTAGCAACATTCTTAGCTCTTATTATTCACTTTCAATGCCTATGTAGTTGTGCTTTCTTTGACCATCCATTTTATATTCTTTTAGTGTCCTTTGTCCATTCACTATTTCCTTTAATCCATCAAAATTCTGGCACTGGTGGTTGGAGTACTCTACCCTTTGTTACGTTGTGTAGTCAGTTCATTTTGAGAATGGCCAGGACCAAAAACGTTGATTTGTGTTTGTTGGCCTGCTTCTCCATATCGTTATGCTTTCTAATCACAGTTTACTGGATTCATTTCTTGTTCAGTGGAACAATTATAATTTGTTTAAAAAGGTTAACTAAGATTTGTACCCAGTATACTGGTTTTCTGCATATTTATAACAGCTGCAAAAACATGAATATTAACTTAAATGGTTAAAAAGCTGCAATATGAATTCGGTTACTAAAGCTAGTAAAAAAAGATATACTAATGAATATTGGGAAAAATAGCAAAACTTTATCAGTTTAATTACTATCACAGCTGTACGTAACACAATGTTTAACTGATGCCTACATGGATAAAACATATTTTTGTGTGTGTGAAGTAAATAAGGCATTCTGTACCCCCACCCCCGTGTAAGCCATGTGAGCAATCCTAGCATGCACAAGTGATAACTAAAGAAGTAAGATCTATTTACCATGAGACTGATCTGGTATGCCCACAGTGATCACAGAGTTTGCTTGATGATGAGGGTACTGTTGCTGCTGCTGACTGTGATGATGAAGTGAATGTGAAGAAAGCCTATGATGTTGATGTAGCAGATGCTGCTGCTGCTGGTGAAAAAACTGCTCCTGATCAAACAGTCTCTCTTCTTTTAACAGTGGCTGTTGGTGTACCACCAATTTAGAACTGGATAAATCAACGGGATTGTCAATACCTAGTTTTGCGGCATGAGCCATGGGATTCGAAACTGAAGCTGTTGAATGTAAATGGTGGGAAGGCAAGGACCCTAGACTCACACTTGGCTGAAAATACTGGTTGTGCTGAGACTGGTTGTGATCTTGATAGAAGTCTGTATTGTCTGGTACCAAATGAGATTTGTAAATAATCTTTTGACCAGAAAGAGACGTGATAAAATTATGATCCCTCTGCACAGGGTAACGTAGGTCATGGTGTGTCAAGGATGTGTGGACATCATCATTACCATTCTCTCCTCTTACATCGTAAATATTCTGAGGAACAGAAAGTCCAAACACAAAATAAAATTATATATATATATATATATATATATATATATATATATATATATATATATATATATATATATATATATATATATATATATATATATATATATTGCAAATCAACTCAGCTCAAATAGATAAATTGGAGAACATCATGACAACTGGAAAGATCAGTGGAAAAAGGGGTAGAGGCAGACCAAGAGAGACGATGCTGGATGAGCTGAAACGATGGCATGGAGGGATATCATCAAGAGAGCTGTTCCAGTCAACCAGGGATTGTGATCTGTGGAGACGCATGAGCGCCTACGCCAGTTGGCAGGGCACATGATAATTATAAACAGTTATTTCTACTGCTGATCTTTCCAGTCATTATGATGTTCTCCAATGCTTTTTTCTTCATCACAAAAAACTAAGACAATATTCTGACTCTTTCAATAAATTTATGTGTTCATTGGCTATAAACTGCAGCAGAAGGTTCTGGCTGTTCATCCACTTCTAGACTTAATTCTTGTTCCAAAACTTAAGTTTTGCATTTATAATAAGTTTTTTCCTCCTTTTTATAGATCTGGCTTACTTGCATGCAGACTACTGGCTCACCAGAAGTGGATGAGAAGCCATAACTTTCTGCCCCCCCCCCCCCCCCCAAAAAAAAAGAAATAATAGTGCTGGAGGAAACAATATTAATATAAGGCACTGAATACAGATTTGAGTCAGAAGTGGTAATGGTTATGCTGACAAATGTCTGGTCAGTATTGCCCCCTCCCCACCCTAATAAAAAATATTATAAACAACTACAGTTCAATAAACTTAGATCTCTTCTAAATCAAACAGAACAGATAATAAAGCAAGCAGACTGTTCTTGTGGATTCCATGCCACAGTGACTTTATGGGAAATGAGAGTAATACAGAACAGCCAGATACAAGATAAACTTGTCAGGAAAATGAAACCCTGATCAAAGCAGCCACTGGAACATTTTCCATCCAGAATACAATCCTGAAGACACAATCAATTTCAAACGGAAGCAGGGCCCCAGTTTTTAGACTGCAAACTGGATAAAACACTCTGCAGCCATGTGTGAAATTTTTTTTTTTTAAACCAGAACGAGAACTTTGCTCATGTGGGCAGGCACCACAAAATACTGAAAGGTGCTACAGACAGGCTCTCTACTCCACATGCAGCAGAGAGGTCCCGGGTCTGACCTGGTGCCATTTCACTGAAACCAGGCTGTATGAACCAACAGAGGACCTGCATTGCACCAGAGAGGCTCACAGTTTTCTCATACAAAAACCACTGACAAGGAGGTTTAAAAAAAAAGTTGTATAACCTTATTTGTATAGCTCATAATAAATCACTTCAGAGAGCAATAGCAAACTCATTCTCAGCATCAGTAGGCAGGTCCTCTAAAAAACTTTGCTTTCGTCATGGCACACATAAAATAAAAGCCTCTCTTTCTTTAGTTAATTCACTAGGTCATATGTGCTTTTATCCACCTTCGAGGTGGTCTGTTCCTGCCTCATTTTCCAGAAATTGCACCATCACTATGATGTTTTATCATGGCGTGGGCAATCATGCCTCTCCAAAATATATGGTCTGCAACTGCATGTATCAGTTCTTGTGTAGCACCTCTCCATGCCACAACAAAGGCTGTCAAGAATCTTCTTGTGCTGTCTTCCCCTGTCTCTCTTTCCACAGATCTTTTCAGTGGTCACAACATGTTCCCTTTTCCCTCATAACATGGCCAAAAATGATGACCGTCTCTTTCTGATGTTTGTGAAAGACTCAAGATATTGTTCAGCTTGTTTATAATTGTCCAGAATTCACAGCCCTAAGTTTAAATGGCTCTATATAGCACGCGAGAACTGTTTTGCCAACCTCCAATGATATGGATTTATGGCATAAAATGTTCATTCGATAAAATGCAGTTTTGGCCTATCCTACTCTTTATCTCTGTGACATATCTTCAGTCGGATGTTTTTTATCTTCTAGATAATTAAATAATGCGTCTGACTTTTATTATACATTTAGGCACTATTCTTTTGGAAATCCCCACTAACTCTGATGTTTAACATGATCAAAATACCCTCAGTAATTTTGACAGGATGCTGTTTACAAGCCAATTCTCCTCGATGCTCAGATTATGCAGGATATTGTTGTTTTCTCATTTGTTGTTACTGGTATTCTAAGAATTTTTCTGCAGCACTTCAGTTCAAAAGTTCTGATTCTTTCTTTAACGACTGAGTAAACTGGTAAACTACTGGTTGCCATGGTAGATTAGTGGTCAACACGAATGCCAGAAGACCACGTAGCTATAGGTTCAAACCTCTATAGAGGAGGATCTTAAAATAGACAAGCTCTCTGACAGACCCAGCTCAAAAATGATCATTTGGAAGTATCTGGGAAGTAAAGGTGGCTGACTTAATATTGACCACATTAACTGCTCCTCTTCAAACTCTGTCAGAAAAACATATATCAGGAGGCCAGTAACCTTGATGAAAGCTATTGTGCAGTCCAAATCTCTATGTGCAGCTTTGTTCTGACAGGCCGAAACATGCCATATTGAGTCCCTGCTGACAGCTTACAGTTGCAGGGACATCTTCACATTTCCTACATTTAGAAATGGGAAGATATCTTGACAAAGTCTGTTCTGGCTGTTCTTGAGTTTGGAGAAAAAAAATCTGGCTTTGGTATACAGCCATCTTTCTTGGATACTCATAGCAGGTTCAAAATCAGCAGAGTTTTGGAGGGTTCTGATCATAATGGGCTGTGAGTGCAGGAGTGGCCAGCGTATGCTGCAGAATCATAAGTTCAAAAAATGATTTATGACAATTCTTGTCCAGATGATAGGATTATCTATACAGATGGCTCTGTGTTGAGAGGCAGATGCAGTTCAAGAGGGTACATAGCAACAACTAGTTTGAGAATGGAGGTGGAAGCAGTCACTGCTGCCTTCTGCTGGCCTGAGAACCAGCTGTACACACATCGTAATTGTAACTGACTGCTAGAGCATGCGGAGAAAGGTGGATAAAGACAGATATTGCCCACACAGACGTTGTTTGCAAAGTTTAACCTGTGTATGTGGTTTTTTTTTTTTTTTTAAAAGACGGCAACGCTTCTAACACAATATATCATAAAGTCATTATCCGTTTTTGTGGGAAAGCGAGACTTTGGTTACACAAAGCATAAAGGTAGCAGGCACTTGGTGCAGTGCTTCAACAGCACACTCGTGGGAACTTGCAATTTGCATTTTTGACACCGTGAGAACAATGGGTCATGGGCGCTGTTCTAACCATTGATGCCCAACTACGGAACCATAAACACAGTCTTGACACTAAACACGCCTTTTTTGTTGACAATATTATCATAGCGTATAAACACAGCAGTACAGGTAAACGCTAGCTGTTATTAGGTGATTTTAAAAGTTCACTGTCGAGATCAAACAGAACGTCAGGGGGGGAAATAACGATCAGAAGCTGAGGCGGGAGGTAAGAGAAACAGCCGATTTCCCATAGCGTCGCAAGCAGCTCATTGGTGACTTCCATATACGGCAAGCAGGTGTTCCCACGGCCTACGTCGCCTGGCGCTGTGAACTCGGTGAAGAGGCCGTGTTTTGGTTCAGGCAGCAATCACCAGACGGGGACCGACCCCACGGTTGTTGCAGCAGAGAAGTGGTCGTTCGTCGCCACTTCCACATTCTGTACGCGCTGCAGCCAAGCCAGCGATGTTAGCACGGTTTTAAAATTACGGAACAGGCACTCTGAACATGATGTACTCTGAACAAAAGTGGGCGATGATAAACTTTAAACACGGCGAGTTTATCATCTGCCTCCAACCTTGTGGTATACTACTACTGCTATGCTACAGTCAGAAGAGGCAGCAGTAACCGTCTAGTGTTTTCAACAGATGCAATATTATACACACAAAACAATCAAATACAACTCACAACTGTATAGCTTTGGCTTTAGCTTAACAATAACATACATGTTAAAGCAAACATACACTTGACGCCCCAAGCCCCTCACGTTCTTTCAACAGCTGGACATCGATCACAGTAACTGGCCTACAAAACATTTCACTGACTCAATGAACAATTCTACTCAACCAACCAAAGAGGCCAGTTTGACACCCAACTACTTACAAGGTGCACTCACTAGAGTTCATTTTACCCCCGCTAGGTTATGAGAATGCAGTGCTGCCACATACTGGCTGCTAAATTTCAAATTTAACAAAGAAAGACACACGAGTTTTCTGCATTTTGAAAGCCCAAATCTGTCATATTTATCAACACAAAAACTTACCCAACCCAAAGTCCTAAAAACTTATCAAGATGGCGAAGCAAACAACTGCACATGCGCTTGTTTAGAATCCACTTACTTCCGCTTCAGTGAAGTGGTTTCCCAGTGAAAAGGAAGAATCAGTTTAATTTAGTGTAAACATTTCAAAGCTGCTGTTTTATTTTATGCTGTAGATTAATTTTTATTCCATAAGGGATCATCAAACTCATTGTTCTGCATAACATTTATATGAGTAAGTTTAGATTTAGCTACCAGACAAGTGTTGTTGAAATGTTGCCTCTTCCCCAGTCATTCGACATTAGTCAGATAGTTCTTTATTAATATTCAATTCAGTCAATGAATAGTTATAGTATAGTCTAGTAATTAGGATAAATGGTGTTTATTATTTATTAATATTTGAAATAACAAAACAGATTGCAGAATCATTAAATAAATATAACAAATTATGTTATTGTTTTAGGTTAAACGACGTTAGGCCATATTTAGTATAATACTACCAGTGACTACTAGTCTAATTATTAATAGTCAGTACTGTTATTATCTTTCAAGTCTTAATTTATTAATATTATTAATGTATTAAACATGTAATGGTATTAAATAGAATTATAAAGTAAATATACCAATAATACCAGAAGTAATTAAAATCTACAGTGAATCACTGACTAGGAAATTACTG